TAAATATCATTGAGTAGGGGTCATCAACCCGTCCCTTTTAAAATGCCATATTTCATATTTCCGATCTGGCAGGTGCTCTCTGACGCAATAGCCACTCATAATATTTCCATTTCCCCCCTCTCACTCTCATTGCTCAGATTTCTTTTGAGCCCCTTTTCGCCGTACCGCAAGAGAGGAGGTATAATACAATACATTGTGTATATTGTACATAAGAGAACGTAACCGGATGATACCCATGTATCGAGGAGACCATATGTCACATGCTCCCGGAGCCCTGGCTGGCTTGATTGCGCAACAAATGAACGTTAATGGTGTTCATTGCACATTTGAATGGGCAAGGAAATGCGCCTAGACTACAAACTAGAAGTCATGAGCAAGCTCAAAAGGGCAAAAATTTATTTTTTCGCAATTTTTCAAAAAATATGCAAACATGCTTTTGTGAGCTTTTTTACACTATTTTAGAGCATTTTTCAGAGGGAAAAAAGCTGCCCCCTCCCCCAACTACCTTAACGCCTACACTCATTTTTTAACGACTCCAGAAGACGTCAAAATCAGAATTTTCAGATTATTTAAAATTCTAGAATATTCTATAGAAAATTCCCTTTCGATCTATATACTTTTCATCAGAATCGGTACGCTGGTTCTCGAGTTATAACGCTTACAAAAATAGAGAAGCTTTTTACCCCATTTCAATCCCCAGACCCCTAAGATTCCTACTGTAGGAAATAGAAACCCGTCGCGGCCCGTTTTTGGGGGAGAATAGGAGAGGCAAAAAGCACCGTGACTATTCAATTCTCTCATGAAAGCATCCTCCCGAGAAAAAACGGGCTAAACCCGGGCGGCTTCTTCTCCTGACCTCTATGGAGTACAATAGGATGGGTGAAAACCGATCCGGGCCTGCACTTTGCCTTTTCAAAGGAGTTGAGCCGCATGCAAAGTCACCAATAGAACCTTCTAGATGCAAATGCGCTCTATTGGACAGCTTGAACTTCAAGCTGCTTGAAGAGTACTCCCTAGGCCTAAGGCAAGTTTCGGTCGGTCCAAAGGTCCGAAAATCGGACCTTAGGATATGCCTAAGCCTAAGCCCTATGCCTAAGATATGTTTCAGGCGGTCTGAAGGTCCAACAATCGGCTTAGCCCAAGGCATGTTCTAGACCAATTTTCAAGTCAGCTTCGGCGGATTTTCCCGGCTTTTTCCGTTCTCTATTCCCGACGTCTCCCGCTACGCGGTTCCAAATCTCCCAATCTGCCCATCTTGATCTACCGCGCGCCTCAAATCTAAGTCCTTGATCTACTACCCCTGGCAAAACACATTTGTGTGGAGAGAACAGCTTATCTCACCTTCTGTGAACATACACACCAACTATTTACAATCCCTAGTCGTTCCGCCTCGAGACCTTATGTATTGGGAAGTGGGTAAATAATAGGTACGAGTGAAGAGAGTAGTATATTGTTTCTGACACTGTTTGAGTAGTGTAACGATATGCTTTAGGTTGGAAAGTGCGCTCCATTGAGAAAAGGCTTACCAGAATTCACATTTTGTTTCGGGCGAAGATTCACGACACCAGATGGGACGGCTTCTGAAGACCACGCCAAGAGCAAAACCACTAGCAAAAGAATCTGGTTTCGACGCATTTATACACGCATTGAGGTAGTTTTGTGATGGCTGGAAGGGAATTTAACCGTTTTTTTTAAAGAACTTCTGCTGATAGTAAAAAAATGAGCGCTGATAAAAAACGGAAATCATCAACAGGAAAGGGGGGGGGGGGGGAGGCGTGGGAAGGAAAAGAATGATCAGACAATATGGAGAGTAGTGACATATATTTTGAAAAAAAAACAATGACGTGGTTTTTATAGGTGAAAAGGTGAGGAAGAAACAAAAAATTAAAAATTGGTACAGTAAGATTAAAGGCGCATAGGGAAAAAAGTTTTCTACAGTAGGGAAAAATCGGAAAATTTCAAATTTTTATGTGAAAATTTGAATTTTCGCGTCAAATTCAATGCAATTTTAAAGTGAAAATTCGGAAAAATTCGAATTTTCGCGTCAAATTCAAAGTCATTTTTTCGTGAAAATTCTGAATTTATTTTATTTTTTACGTGAAAATTAGAATTCGCGCGTCAATTTTTAGGTGAAAATTTTGAGAAAATTTGAATTTTCGCGTCAAATTCCATGTAATTTTTTCGCGAAAATTTGAATTTGCGCGTCAAATTCAACATTACTTTTACGTGAAAATTCTGAAAATTTCAGTTTTTAAGCGGATGCTCGCATATATACCTAAAAATCCGGAAAATTTCATTTTTGGCGTGAAAATTCGGAAAAAAAATCTATTTTTCACGTGAAAATTTGAATTTGCGCGCCAAATCCAATGTAAATTTAACGTGAAAATTTGGAAAAATTCAAGGAAATTTTTACGTAAAAATTCTAAAAATTCGAATATGCACGTCAATTTTAAGTTGAAAATTCTGCGAAAATTTGATTTCGCGCGTCAAATTTAATGTAATTTTTACCGTTAAAAACGTCAAAATAAATATAAATTTTGGCCTAAAAAATTTCAAGGCTATTCAATTACTTGTGACCTAGCAAAGTTCTAGAAAGCGAAAAGTAAATAGTTCTCGTGATTTTTCAGCAAAACTTCTGAATTTTCTCTACAAACAATGCCACTGTCGCCTTAAATTCATTAAAATTGTGTCGCAGTCAAAAAAAAATAGCGAAATGATTCGAGAATCATGATGATCGTAAAGGAGAGGAGATATACACAGACACAGACAATTAGAGATAGAAGGCGACGATGGAGAGGAAGAATCAGAAGATGTGTGTGTGTAGCAATGTTGAAAAGTGTCTATGTGTAAAGTTACACTAAAATTTGATGCTAGGTGTGTGGACCCGGCTGTGAGATCTAGAGAGAGAGAGAGAGACAGAGAGACAGAGAAGAACACATTAACAGTGTTAGTCTAATGGCAATTGAGAGATTATTCAACTATTGCTATTGCAAAACAGTACAAGGAGAACTTGACACCTTCAAAAAATAAGCGAGACACAGAGAAAGAGAAGAATTGCGAATGGTCACTCCTCGCGCCAGTGTCCCCCCTCCAATTCTCACCAAGTTCTCTGCGTCTCGTGATCCCTAACCTTCTACCGGTTCACCTACCACACCCCGCTAACCCAATAAGCCCTAGTGACCTGGGCACTAACAAGGTGCGGTAAGAATATGGCTAATGAAAGCAAGGAACGTCTCCAGAAGACTTCAAAATCGAAATTTCGAAAAAAAGGGGCATCAACTAAGACACAATTCAGATCTACCTGTCCAGGTTTCAGCTCAATCGGTTAACTTTGAATGGGTCAGAAGGCGCGCGACATACATCCTTAGTAATGATGGTACCAGACAGAGATGTTTTAATATTGTCGGATTGATTAAAACTGGGGAGAAGGCGGAGAAGAGGAAGAATAGCGGGTGAATCACAATGGTGTAATGTGTTGACTCGGAGCCAAGAAGGAGGTACCTAGGGGCGGTGGTCCTAGAGGGAGCTATAGGACATTTATGTAGCGAGTTATACTTTGCTTCTAGGGAAGGCTTAAAGAACGTCAGTCATAGAAGTAAAGAAACGTTTTTTTGACAATTTAGTTTTTCTAAAAAATCAAAGAATAGACCGCCCATTTTCTTTGATATAGACTTTCTCCAAGACGCGTCTTTGAATGGAAAGCGAGAGATAAGATAAGGAGAATAAAAAAACGATTGCAAGGAGAAAAAAAGTTCAATACAGACCATCTGGTAACACTTTAATATTGCAAAAGAGGATTTTCGGAGTCAGGTGGTGCACCTGTTGTCACTAGGCTAGGAAACTGAGAAAAAGGAATTGAAATGAGCGAAAATCATTGAAAAAATCGTCGGAAATTCTCGAAAATAGAGGTTCTTAGTGTTTTCAATGACTTTTTCATCATTTTAATTCGTTTTACGAAAATTTGAATCGAAGAAAAAACGTTGAAATCGTCGGAAAAGCTAATTTAAATTGGAAAAAAAAAGACTTAAAATGAGGAAATTGATGAAAGAAACTGTAAAAATTGTTGGAAAATTTGAGAAAATTGAGATTTAAATCGGACGAAAAATTGATTTAAATGCTGAAAATAATTGAAAAAATGACGAAAAAAAGAAAAGAAAATAGAGATTTAAATTGAAAAGAAAACGGACCTAAAAAGATCAAAATCATTGAGAAACCGAGAATATCGACTAAAAATTAAGAAAATAAAAATAAAAAATAGTTAGAATAGGCTCAAACGAAAAGGATCTTGCTTAAACATTTTTTCCCCATTTTTCAATTTTCCGACGTTTTTTGTAAATTTTTCAACGATTTTCATTATTTTAGCTCAATTTTTTGCGATTTATATACTAAAAACGGTGAAAATCATTAGAAAAATGACCGAAATTGTGTAAAATTGAGAAAATAACTAAAAAAGAGTAGTACGCTCTTGCGACTTGAAGAGAAATTGTCCCCTATTTTCGTCGTTTTTTCGATGATTTTCATCACTTTATATTATTTTTAGACGATTTACATCGGAAAAACGACGAAAATCGCTGTAAAAATGACGAAAATCGTTGAAAAATTAAAAAAATAGTTCAAAAAATACGCTAGTTTGCTCTTGCGACTTGAAGAGAAATTGTTATTTTCGACGATTTTCACCGTCTTTTCCGATGATTTTCATCAATTTATATCATTTTTTGACGATTTATATTGCAAAAACGATAAAAATCATGATAAAAATGACTGAAATCGTCGAAAAATTCAAAAAAATAGCTCAAAAAATACGCTAGTTCGCTCTTCCGACGATTTTCGTTGTTATCATTTTTGACGATTTTCATCGAAAAAACGGTAAAAATCATTGGAAAAATGACGAAAATCGTCGAAATCCTTTTTTTCAGACAGCGATAGTACCTATTAGAAAAAACAAGAAATCCCTAAATTGCCGCAAAACAAACTAAGGAATCTTTAATGACACTGTCATATAACGGTTCCACACAGAATCCACCTGCCCGCTTCAAAGAAGACGCTGAAGCTTTTAGACTAGAAAAAAAACCCGTCTAATAAAACTACTAATTGTGTGCCATAGAGAGGACGATGATGATGATCCGAGACACACACTCATAAAGCCAATAAACCACAACACCAGGGGACACTAGAAAGTGTCCAATTTCTGTCCATGTCCGAAAGAACACTTAGTCGTCGCCCAAAAGCCGATGATGAGAGGGACGGGGAAGAGATCTAATGTGTCGCCTTCTTGTTCCCAGAGGGGACAAGAAGAAGGCAACGAAGAAGAATAACGAAGAAGGGGACGAAGAAGGGGGCAGGCGGGCGGTCGACCGAAAAAAGGGGGCGGGGCTTGGAAGACGGCCAGAAGAAAGAAAAGAGAGGGGACTGTAGCATTGGGGGTCAGTGAGGTTTAATCCTTAATCCCTCTAGTAAGAAGTTCTATGGGGCAGTCCATCTTTCTTACATAATTGTTTATACATATGCCAACAGAAGTTCGAGAATGATGTCGAGAATTACACTCAGAATAGAGTGTTGCTAAAGAAATGCTAAACTATCTGGGGAGCATTAACATATAATGCTTTTATAAAAGAATCAGGCGGGGTATAGAAAGGGACCGCCTGTCTTTTGTTGTCGCCTGATTTACAATACGGTTCGGCGGCTCTGTGACCGTATAGGGGGGGGGGGGGGGGGGTCACAATAAGGGAAGATAAGAATACATTGAGCAGTAGACAATGGATGGGACTTTTTGGGAAATTTTAGGAGGGAGTTTAAGATTATGCTGAAAAATGCAAAACATAACTCAGGGTTTTTCCATTCGTCTAATACCGTAAATGAGCTGTCCACTTTGAGGTCATATATCTCGATTCCTGTGACAGATATCAAAAATTTGTCAACTAACAAAATGTTTATCATAACACCAGCAACATTTTATTAGTTAAACACTTTTTTATATCTTTCACAGAAATCTAGATAAATAGAGTCAAACTAATCGGACATCCCGGGGGGAGAGAGGTAAGAAGGGAAGGGTAGGGAGCCTGTCTCTTCAAGTCTTATTATCTCATTTCCTGTAAGAGATATCAAAAAATGGTCAACTGATAAAATATTTCTGATATTATGATAAACATTTTACCTGTTGACCATTTAGTGATATCTTTTACAAAAACCAAGATAATTAGGTTTAAAGATACAACATGCTCATGGTAACCGCTCATCTAACTATAACCAAGATAAATCGGTTTAATTTTAATAACTTCTTTGTCAAATTTAATATCATTTTAATTCCCTTGAAATTTCCTACAAAACTAGCCGAAAATCAGTTTTCCAGCTAAATGTTGAAGTGAGTTATGCGCCTTTAAAGTTTGACGAGAGTGCCTGCGTCTCACAGCTCAAAATGGTTCGTTTTTAGTGATTTTTGGAGGGGACAACTAGGAAAATGACAATTGTACAATTTTCTAAAAGTATGTCTGGTAAAGCATACAAGTCTAGTGACTAACACTCGTAAATTGTAACTATTGTATTCATTTTCGAAACAGATTAGTTGTGATTATCTGTAATTAGATTCATAGAGAAGTTTCTTCTGGAAACTAATTTCAAGAATCTGAAGAGAGAAT